AAAAAAAAATTCCCATTGAAAAGCATTGGTACATTACTATTGGCTATTTCAATTTGCAATAGCCAATAGTAAACTAGCATTGTACCCGCCCTCTGCTGATGGACCTGATGGAGAACTGCAGCAGAGGGCGGGTACAATGCTCGTTAACTATTGGCTATTCTGACATCGCTCCGTGTCAGAATAAAGAAAAAAAGGCACAGCAGTGTTTCTCTCATTGGCGGCCAGGAGCAGGAGACTCCCGGGGCGCCAGGGAGAGTTAGCTGTTTGGAGATCAGTGCCCCTGGTTAGCAGGTAACCAGGGATGCTGATTTCTCTACAAGTGGCCGGAGCCAGCCGTAAGATCATGGCTAGCTCCGCCCAGCTGTCAGAAGCAGGCTGTCGGCCGGCCGCTCGGCAAGCTTCGGCTTTCAGCAAAGCTCAGCCGAGCCGATGCATATGCGTTCGGCTCGTCTGAGCCGCTCGGCCATGTTCGGGAGCTGTACGGGCTATTGTGAGCTGTACGGGCTACAGCACCCCTTCGGTTCCTGGGGCCGAAGCTAGCCGAAGGATCGGCCGAAGCTACGGCCAGATCCTTCGGCGGCTTCGTGAATAGACCCCTATGAGTCTGCTGAATGCTCTTCCATGTAAAACTCAGTTTATCAAGCAACTTGGGTCTCATTTGTCATTGTATCTCTAATTAGAAATCTTTTGTATTGTCCTATAGCCACTAAACAGTTAAACACCTGCAATGGAAAATAAATCTTGTAGGCTGAAAGTTTGAATCTAATCGGTGGCTGAGAAGTAATGCATTATGTAGTAATGATCTGTAATTGTTTTAGAGTTTCTGAATTACCTTTATGTTTTCCTTCGGCAGGGAATGGCAGTGGCAGCCCGTTCTCAGGGACAGCACAAGCAGAGGATCTGGGTGAACATTTCACTTTCTGGCATAAAGATAATTGATGAAAAAACAGGTGTAAGTTTTACAAATTCTGGCACATTTCAAATCAAGCATAACATTGTTCATTTTCTATCCCCTGGGTAGCTGGAGTGTATCTCCTGTTATAGACACTATTTATAAGAACATCTCCACTACTGTAGCTTCTCAGTAATGGAGAGGGACTCCCAGGCAAATAACAAGTGTTGCTCTGACGGGAAGCCTAATACCCTTCCCGCTGAGCCCCGCATGGAAAGTTAGCAGTTATAGAGCACGAGGGACCCTAAGGAACCCTAAGGACTGGCTGGACTAAAGTGAAAAGATAGTTTGGCAGTGGCCATCAGAAATAACTGAGAGCAGGATTCTTGTTTATTCATTTCAGTCCATTCTAAATATATATTAAAGGGCCAGTTTACCAAAGAGCAATATTTTCCTTCACAAGAATTTCATTGTTTTAATTCTTATTTTTTTTTTGAAACGTGGTTAAAGCAATATAACATAAGTGACAATCAACATGGGTATGAGTATGCATGCAAGAAGACATTGAAAGCAGTGTTTTCCCATTACATTTGTAAAACATAAAGAAAACTGTATATGGACTTATTTTTGCCTGTTGTGTGTTTGTATGGGTCAAAATCAATAATTTATTTATAGGTGGTACCTGGTGGGGTAAGTGGTAGAAAAATGTCACCAGCACACCATGAGTTGAAAAAGCAAAATATTTTATTGCCAATAGCTGTATCTCATTGGCAAGCGCTTTCGGGGCCTCGCAGGGTCCCCTTCATCAGGCTTAGAGATAACAGTGAAGTGAAAGACATACAACAATATATACCTAGACATACCAATCAACTGGGTGCTGTGAAACCACTCCCATCCACCTAGGGCGTCGGTATGACGTCACCCCTGCCGTTAAGTATTTGAAAAGGACGTGTGCAGAATGATGTAAATACTAGCCATATCTATTAAACCATCAGTGACTCCCAACAGCACATATAAGTGTGACTCACCCAGGGTCAGTAGCCCAAGGGCTCACAATGCGAATTTTACCTTGAGCATTGGGGTGATAGTAAACCACTCATACAGTCAGTTTGATTATAAAAGTTAGATCAAACGCTGGCTGTTAGGTGTATAATTACTGTGGGAGGTGCCGAATGGAAAAAAAAATTTTGGGCAATCCATAGAGGACTGGTGTCCGTGCGTGCTCATGGTTTAGAAATTCTGCTACTGTTTCACTGATCCATGAATTAGCTATGCCCAAATCAATAATGGATGTCAATCCTGTCTGGATTGCACGTAGACCTTCATATGGGACAGGTTGGTAGCTGGATGTATCTGATAGTAGTAACAGCATACCTTGTCTGTACTCACTATAATCCATAATGACAATGGCACCCCCTTTATCTGCTGGTTTGATAATGATGGTGGTGTCTTTCTGCAAGGCTAATAGTGCAGTACGATCTTCTCTGGTCAGATTTAAACGGGGTTTCATTTTTTGATTTGTCTGTAGCACATCATGCTTTACAGTGCGTATAAATGTTTCAATCGACTGGAACTGGCCACCAGGGACGAAATTGCTTTTCAGTCGGAAGGGTGGGGTAAGTGGTCCCCTGGCTTCCTTGAATACATCAACAGCAAGATCTCACCGCCTTAAGCTTAACATCACACTTAAGCTATTTGTTTTTGTAGCATTTTCACATTCAATTATAAACGCATTTCTGCTTCATTTTTAAACATCTTCATTTTTGTTTGTCCAATGGAAAGCAGGAGAAGACTGGTTATTAGGCATGAAAACACACAGAAACCATGTGCTACCCATGTTTTCAGGAGCTCCCATTGAATTCTTTGGGGCTAAAAATGCACGCTCCTGCCCCAAAGAAGTGTCTATACATCTTTGGCAAGACAAGCAGCAGCACATCGTTTAGATGTGAACAGGCCCCTTAGAATAAAATCTGAGAGTTTTGGGTGTTCCCGTTCACCTTTGTGTGTCCCATCAACCTCTGTGTGTCCCAGCTCTTCGTTTTACAGTCTCCATAATATGTAATAAATAAAAAAATCCAACAGGGAGAGTAGGGCCCCTCATAAAGGCCAGAGTGGGTGTACAAACCTAGAAACCCAGAGATCGACCAATATAGTCCTTAGGAGATATATGTGTCAGCATTTTCGAAATACTGAACTATGAGTTTTGGGTAAACTGTCTCTTTAATGACTTTATGACTATCTTACTTAGAGAAGGATTCCAACCACAAGCCCAAAGCTCCAGCATGCATTTTGTTTCTTGTTACGTGGAAGAAATAAATGAAGTGATAAAACACATGAAGACAAATATTCTAACGCTTGTGCTTGCTCCAGCCTTAGTCATCTGGAACATAACATTCCTGTAAATGCAGTTTTTTTCTGTCACTGGACACTTTAGCTGTTAAAAGTTTACTAAAGTTTATGATCCACAGCTGTTTAAATATTGCATCCAGCCATGGTGTGACTGCGGGGTTTGCTTTCAACAGACGTTTGAGATTTAACACACAAAGGCAGTAATGTGCCCACACCGTCTTCTGGGGACACAAAAATAACACCGACTTCCAATTAACAGGGCTGTGTCCTATTTGTAGGAACTTTTAAAATGAGTTTACTGAAAAGGGATTTTGATTTTGGAAGAAACTGCAGTCATTTCCCATTTAATCCAAGGATGACCACAGACCCGTCAGTGAGGTTTTATGTTTCAGTGTTGAATTACGTTGTGTTCATCTACAGTGGTTGTGAAGTTTTACCGAAGTGTCCTTTTAGCTGTTGAATTTCCTAAAGCCAAACTGAAGCCAGTTGGATGATTTTGCAATGCTGAATGGTTAGAATTTTTTAGTTTTTTTATTACTATGTCCCGGTTTAGAAGAGTTTCCCTGATTTCCTGTTCCAGTGACATAATAATAAGTGAGGGGAAGTCTCCCCGACAAGAACACAGAAAGCTGTGTTTCAATCTTTGAGATGTGACGAGCAATGCAGAACTGTGAGAATTTAGTAGCTGCACTTTTGGCTCTGACAATGTAAGTGCAGGTTGTAAGGTGTTAAAGGAGAACTATGAGATGAGTGATTTCCACTCACCTCATAGTTCTAGCCGACCTGTGACAATGAGACTGTCACAGGTCGGCTCAGTAGATCGGGAGGTGAGCGAACACATACCGGGTTCGCTCACCTCTCGATCCTGTCACGGCTCTCTGCCGTGACAGGCGGAGGGGCTGGATTCCCCTCTCCCCGCTCCGATCTGCCAGCGCTGACTGGCGGAATGGACGGGGAGGGGGCGGGTACAGCTGGCTCTGCCTGTAGGTAGGCAGAGACAGCTGTCACTCATGCAGCTGGGCGGATCCCAACGTCTAAGTCGGGATCCGCTCCAGGTGCGGCGTCTCAGTATACCGCGAGCTGTAGCTCGCGGTATACTGAGCTTAGGGTAACGGGAGGACGCTAGTTTGTGTCCTCCTGTTACCCTAAGGAGAACTATGGGGAAAAACACTGACCCTATAGTTCTCCTTTAAGATTAGGATTTTAGGTTAGGTTTTAGAGGTGACATTTAATATTATCCAGTTGTAGACATTAGGCATGCTATACACACCCAAAAAACTTAATGAAAGTATATAATGCATGCATAGTGTGCCGAGTCTTTTCACTGTTTAATTCCCCTGTAGGTCACAGGGATGAGCTTAATTCTGCATATGATGTCAGTTAAATCAACCTGATAAGTAAAAATATACAGAGTTATTCACAAAAGGGTGAAGAGTTTGGAGAAGGCAGGAGAAGTGAACAATCTAGGACAACATAGCTGAACTGGAAAGTGAACTGAATTGGAGAATTTTTCCAAATCACATATTTTGGACTAGACTGTTCACTTCTCCTGCCTTCTCCAAACTCTTCACCCTTTTGTGAATAACCCTGTTACTGTTTTTTAAGTACAATTTGCTCCTATTCAATCCCATATTAACCCTTAGTTTGCCCCAATAGGTCATATTTAACTTATTTGTCCCCTTCTCCCCTTAGCTACCGTATTATTTTTCCGCATTTTTATTTCTTTTTTTCTAACCATTAATATTTAAACTTTTTTAACATTTGTATGCGTTTTGTTCATTATATTTTTTCAGTGTCACATTAAAAAAAGTACAAAAGTGAAAATCCACTTTACAAAGGATATCCACTTATGTGGAATAAATTTACCAAAAAACCTATTGCTGCTTGCACGTGATTAGATGATAGAAGTCAACAGAGATTCGCCCCATTGACTAAGCTAAGGAATAATTCCCTTGCATAGTGAATGGCCTGTTTGCCTTCAGTGAATAAACCCCTATATCCCTTGGAAAGAACAAAGCGAGGACTCGCCGTTCCACTGGAGAGGTAAGTATAAGAAGTCTTCTTTTAAACACTTCTTTTGACAATGTCATTTCAAAGTCTTCAGCAATTGTATAGAGTGGGCAAGGGTGATAACATCTGGCAGACTTTAATTCCAATCTGTTTCCCCGTTGGAGAGATTTTATGCCACTTCCTGTCCTGGTGCCATGTAGTAAGTGAAGAGAAAAGCCTGACAGAGGTTCTCCCCCTTCCAGACTCTATTTCAGATAGGAAAATCTCCCCACTGGGAACACAAACAGTAATTAAACCCAACAGATGTTTAACCCCTTCACTTCTCTGACCAAAACTAAATGCCTTGGCTTGTAAATTTTTCATGTCAAGCATTGCTGTTCTCTGCCTGCTCTCACATTTTAGAAATCAACACAGACAAACTCATCCATGAGCTGACTTTTTACCCGGTGTGAATAGTATGATGGAGGGCAGGGGTGGGGTATAGAATTTGTGTGGCAGGTCCTCCACCGTCTACAATTACCATGGCTTCATTACAGGATGGTATAGGGTTCACTATACCTTAACGCCATACAATGTATAAACTGATTGATGGAAGCAGATTTTAATAAAGTCTTATAGTCAACCTAAAATATAATAAGCAACATTAAAATCTTTGTTGCAGAAAATGTGACGTGGACTGCATGGTTGCATATTTATTAGTGTTGTCTGCTATTTACAGCTCTCATCCGTCATTCATGCAAGCTAAGCAAGAGCCATTGATAAAGGTCATGTGAAGGTCTCTCACAGTGCATATTGCGCATAGTGTAACAGGCGCCTTTATTTATTGATGAGTGTTCAGAGAAAATGATGTTTTCAATAAGCAGAGCTGATGTGACAGCCAAGACGGATAGAATAACCTGCGCTATAATGTATTCCTCCTCTCAGTATAGTTTTATTTTATGCATCATTCACAGGTTTAATGTCATATGAAAAAAAAAAATTAATTTATATTCACAATAGGGAGACATGTTTTATTAAAGGCTTAAAGGTCTGCTGTTGTTATTGTGTTTTGATAACTGCATGCGTTTAATACATGTAATGATAATATGCATTACATCAATTCCTGTCGTTATTTTAAATAACAATTATTTGTATTTTTCTTCACATTTACATGCAGGCCAAGCTGTCTAGCAAAAGAGACAGTGGCAGGGATTGGGAGAAACTCTAACACTTCCAGTTGTGCTTGATAATGTGCAGTCTTAAACCTTAAAAATGCATTCAAGTACCTGAACTATTAATAGCAATGTAACTCATGTGTGTATAACTCGGCTGTAGATCCTCAAATCATCTCTGAATTGGTGCTGACACTGTCCTTCCTTCTGGAGGGTGGCTTATTTTCTTCCCCATGGTCCCTTTGTGTGTTGTAAAGTAGCCACCGCTCCAAGCTCACTCCTTTGATGGACTACAATCTCATGTATAGTTGTTTCCATGCAAATCTCTAATTTGTATTGAGTTTGTAGCCCATCATGAGAGTTAGCTTAGAGCGGTGGCTGATTTACAGTACACACAGGGACCATGGGGAAGAAAAGTAGCCCCCCTCCAGAAGGAAGGACAGTGTCAGCACCAATTCAGAGATGATTTGAGGATCTACAGCCGAGTGATGCACAAATAAGATAATTTTGTGTTAATAGTTAATACTTGAATTCATTTTTTTAATGTAACTCCTGAATTTAGTGTCATTTTAAATATGTTTTTCAGCATGGTAATAAAAGGTCATGCATGCCTGTTAGCACTATATTTTGTCCCCTGCCTCTCAATGAAATCTCCATAATGGTTGGGGTCAAGCTACAGCAGGCGGCACAAGTGAACCTGTGCCCAGGCTACAGACATTATAGTATTCTTAACAAGCAGTAAGAGAGCTTTAAAACAAGCTGTCACTGATTTCTGTAGCTGCGTGTAGTGGGAAATAATGCAATCTCAAATATCACAACAAAGACATTGAAGTCTGATGTAATGTTAATCTGTAAAATTTTAATTAGAAGGCTGGCAGGCTGCCAAGTCGCTAGCTGCTGGTATGGAATATAGAAAGAGGGGAGCTGTGATTTCTGTACCTCTGTGAATGTGGAACATACATTTCTCCACAATTCCTATACAGAGGTGAAGTATATATTTTTTTTAAGCTAGGATCACAACAACCGCTGAGGTACATTACGATAATGTGTGCTGCATCAGACTGCCCATTCAAAATTATTGGGCTGGCAACGAGCCTCAATAGCCCAAAAAAAGGACCAGCACCTCACCAAATTGCTATTCCGCACGTTGTGGAAAAGTGCACTGGAACAATAATGTAAATGGAGGCCTTTAAGTGACACTAAACTGAAGAATTAAACCTTAAAAACGCATTCAAGTGCCTGAACTATTAACAAAAAGTATCCTATTTGTGTATCACTCGGCTGTAGATCCTCAAATCATCTCTGAATTGGTGCTGATACTGTCCTTCCTTCTGGAGGGTGGCTACTTTTGTTCCCTCTGCTCCCTGTGTGTGTGTTGTAAAGCAGCCACTGCTCCAAGCTCACTCACGTGATGGACTGCAATCTCATGTTTAGTTTACTAATTCGTATTGAGATTGTAGTCCACCACGTATGCAAGTTTTTTTTTAGAGTGGTGGCTACTTTACAACACATACAGGGACCATGGGGAACAAAAGTAGCCCCCCTCCAGAAGGAAGGACAGTGTCAGCACCAATTCAGAGATGATTTGAGGATCACCAGCCGAGTGATACACAAAAAAGATACATTTTTGTTAATAGTTAAGGTACTTGAATATATTTTTAAGGTTAACATCCTGAGTTTACTGTCACTTTAACTGTAAATAGAGGTCCGATAATTATTTATCTCACTCCGGTGCCGAGTGATAAACAAATAAGATACATTTTTGTTAATAGTTTAGGTACTTGAATGGATTTTTAAGATTTAACTCCTGAGTTTAGAGTCACATTAAAGTGCTTGCTCAGTATATGGAAACACTTTAATGTGCATAGTCTGGGTACAGGTGTGTTTCAATTACCAACACAGGGCGATTACTTGAAAAATACCCTTCTACTCTGTACTAGGTAAATAAACATACCTGTTTACTGTTTTCCTGGTGCATTAGCATCATGGGATTTTAGTACCACTTTCAGCTTTATGTTTTGACTTGTGCTATTTACCTAAAAAACAGTTTATAAACCTTGCAAAAAAAAATAATTAGCTGTGTTTGCTTTCAATCCCATTGTAGGTAATCGAGCATGAACATCCAGTTAACAAGATTTCCTTCATTGCTCGAGATGTGACAGACAATCGGGCTTTTGGATACGTTTGTGGTGCTGAAGGACAGCATCAGTTTTTTGCCATAAAAACAGCACAGCAGGTACGATTGCACAGAGTTTCAATACATTGGGGACATGATAGGGTTTAACTAAATTAGGAACCAATTTTGATGCTGTGGCAGGCTAAATGCAATAAAGTGTATTCTTATGTACTGTATGAACTGCTAAGAGCTCTTCTCAGATCTATTTATACACTTTGAGAGTCCAGAGATGGGCAACAAAAATGGTGAAAGTAATTAGAGTTAAAACATATCAGGAGGAACTCAATTTGTACAGTCTTGAGGAAAGGTAGGAGGGGGCTTGAGTAAAACCTAGGAATGCATTAAGGGTGTGCATAATGTTCAAGAGGACAGCATTTTTAATATGAAGCTATGATCAAGAACACAGGGACATGACCTCAAACGAGCATGAGGAAAGTTCAAAGCAAACCTTAGAAAGTGTTATTTTATTGAGTTTTTAATTCTTGGAACAGACGTCCAGCACAGGTAATGAGTTAGTCAAGAGGAGGTGAATTTATACTTGCATGGAACAAACATAAATCTATACTTAAAAGAGAACTATAGGGGTAATCTTTTTATCCCATTGTTCTCTATAGGGACACGGGAGGACATACTGTATACTAACATCCTCCTGTGACCCAAAGCTCAGTATATGGCGGGCTACTGCCCGCCATATACTGAGAGTGCCGCAGCCGAGACGGATCCCAACAACACTGTCTGGATCCAACCAGCTGCGTGAGTGACAGCGGGCTTTCCCTATCTAGAGGCAGAGCCAGCTGTGCGCGCCCCTGTAGGCTCCACCACTCAGCGCTGGAGGATCGGAGAGGGGAGGGGGGAATCCCTGCAGGGAGAGGTGCCCGACAGTCACCGCTCTCTGCAGGGAAATGATCGGGAAGTGAGCGAGCAACGGTATGTGTTTGCTGACTTCACGATCTTCAGAGTCGACGTGTGACACGTTGGCTCTAACTATGAAGATCTAACTAATATTATACAGGATTTATATAGCGCCAACAGTTTGCATAGCACTTTACAAAATCAAGACATTACAGTTACAATACAATTTCAATACTGGAGGGTTAGTAGGGCCCTGCTCATGAGAGCTTACAATCTGGTGAGAAGACTAAGGGGTCTATTCACGAAGCAGCTGAAGGATCTAGCCGTAGCTTCGGCCGATCCTTCGGCTAGCTTCGGCCTGTAAGGGCTATTCACAATAGTAGAGCCAAAGGCATATGCCTCGGCTCGGCTGAGCCGCGCTGAAAGCTGAAGCTGGCAGTGCGGCCGGCCATTGGCCAGCAGACAGCCTGCTTCTGACAGCTGGGTGGAGCCAGCCGACATTCGGCTATTCACTCACTCCTGGCGGGCATCTATAAGATTTGACCGAACAGCAGCGAGTAGCCTGCCGGAGGTTCGGCTTCGCCGATCCAGATGTTCGTGTCGGCGTTCGGCTCACTTCGCTTCAGGTCGGTCTTTCACTTGGCTGCCTACGGTGCATTGAAGTCAATGGCACTGCAGCCATGCCCCCCGCATGCAGGCACATTAGTGCCTGTATTCCGGTCCAGTGCAATGTGCAGATTAGGGCTGCAACAACTAATCGACATAATCGATTATAATCGATTATTGAAAAAGTTGTCAACTTTATCGCAAAATCCGGGTGCGGGCAATCGCACTGCGGGCAGGGGGCCGTGGCTGTGGTAGCATTAACTTCAATACACCACCGCACCCCCTCCCACCCCTGAACGCAGGGAGCCGGCCAGCTTGCGTTCCAGTACCTTCCAGAGGCCGAACGCTCTGGAACGCAGACTTTGTGGTGCGAACCGGTCCTAGAGGTGGAACACATAAATAGGCCTTTATATTATTTTCTATGGTGCAGTAAACATATTGCTGTTTCTGCTTATTCTGAATGTTGCTGCTGCAGTGTAAAACCCAATTATCACTGTCTGTTTTTCTTGGAAATCCTTTAACCAGTTCAACTTCAAAGCGATTTTCACTTTTTAGCCTTAGGCCTATTTCTTTATTACTTATGAGGCAAAAGAGCAGCATTTATTGATTTTTGGGACAAAGATCTTTTTTTATGGAATTGTCTTCAAAGATATATTATCTTTTCTGTATATTTTAAAGGCAAAACAAAGTTAAAAAATAAAAAATACAGTTTGGCCATAAAGTTCTAATTTTATTCTGCAATTTGTCCTTTATTTTTTTCTACGCCACAATAATGAAAGATGAAAAAGTTATTTTTAAACCAAATGAAGTCCTTACTACTAAACTACTACCGAGCAAAATAAAGGAAAAACACAAAAAGACTTGCATCTTTAACTTCATTACGTAGGCATATAATATCTAGGCAATATAATTAATAAATTAATCTTCAGCATAATTTAAACTTTTGCATGTGTGTCTTGCTTTAGGCTGAACCTCTAGTGGTGGATCTCAAGGATCTTTTCCAAGTCATCTATAACATAAAGAAAAGGGAAGACGAAGACAAGAAGAAGGTACGTGTCTCACCATAAATACAGACTGTATCAGTAAGGAGCACATACAGTAGGGAATACATATCTACTAATAATAAGTTGTATTTAACCTTAGCTAACACCTGTTCAGACACCCACTACTTTGTCTTACATGACAACACAGCTGATGCCACATGATATGCTATATTTGCATCACGTGCTATTTGGGGAGTTTAATAATGCAACTATTTTAAACCTGGTTCCTGCTGACTATAATTATATACATATTTACATTGAGGAGTATCTCTCCTTGTGCAGTAATGACATACACTGCCTGTCTAAAAAAAATAGTTACACCCTTATATTTAGTTGGACCTCCTTTAGCTTTGATTATAGCACGCATTCGCTGTTGGCATAATTTTAATAATTTTATGCAATGTCACAACATTTATTTCCGTCCAGAGTTGCATTCACTTTTCACCAAGATCTTGTAGTAATAATGGGAGAGTCTGACCTCTGTGTAAAGTCTTCTCCAGCACATCCCAAAGATTCTCATTGTGATTAAGGTCTGGATTTTGTGGTGGCCAATCCATGTATGAAAATGAAGTATCATGCTCCCTGAACCCATCTTTCACAATTTGAGCCCCATGAATCCTGGCATTGTCATCTTGGAATATGCTCAATGTGCCAAAAACCTGGTCATTCTGTATATTCAGATATTCAGGTAGACAGCTTAACTAACTTCTTTGGGCACATAATGTTTCTAAACTTAGACCTTACCTGAGTAATTCTCCAGTGGAAGGCTCTGAAATACTTGCTTAGCTAAATCCAGGTGGTGACTTTTTTTTTGGACAGTCAGTTTATATGTGGGTATTGCTTCATGATGGGGCCCTTTATTTACTGACTCTGCATGTTAAAAGGTCTTTGTTTAAAGAGTGCTGGAGAATGAATGAACATGGGACCTCTTTGAAATAAGGGGATCATAGACAGGGCCTAGAGCACAGTGGTGACTGGACTACCAGTCTGAGTTCTTTCGACAGTCTTTGCTATTTGATTGGTGTCACTGTTAAAAGCAAAGTCCACCTTTTGCAAAAAAACTATTCACACTTCATTAAAAAAAGTGTGCATTTTTTTTGCATAGGAGCCAGTAAAAAAAGTAAAGCATTGCAACCGCAATCAGTAGAGGTACAGACATGCAGTAACATGGATCGGGGGAAGCGTCAATGGAATGCAAGTGTGGTGATGTCACCATGTAGTTTTTCCATTCACAGATCCTGTCAAGGGATGTGTGAATGGATGAAGCTGCTGTGTGGAGCCTTACCGAATTTAAACAACCGCTGTGGCCTGCAGGGAGAAGAACCCTGTAATTCAGCTAAGTTGGGTGGTGGGATGGGGTAGGAGGTCTGCGTTCTGACTATGTTTCATTTTACACTCTAAATATGGGTGTAACATGAAACATAGTCAAGAAAGCTGAATTAAGCCTTAAACGGCCGGCTCTTCTAATGCAGACTTGAATTATATTCATACATGGCAGTGCCACCATGCAGCTTGGCTGGAGCAGCCCCCAGTGGGTGTAGTGAACCTAGACACCTGGGCATAAAAAAAAATATTAGCTGTCACTATATTCCTATGCCATTCAGTTTCTGAGACCACAGAAGGATGCCAAAGTGGACCCTACAATTGGTTTTAATAACCTACATAGAATTATAATTAGTTGTCTTTTTTAGGTTTTATTTTTTATCTAATTTACTATCTATATTTTACTATCTAAATACAATCTTTCTTTTACAAATGAACCTTAAATACACAATAAAGGATTCTCAGAGCAATATGTGTTATCTAAAGAGAAAGCACAATAGACAGTGGTTACTGTTGTTTGTCTGACTGAAACTTCCTACTGAGCTGTCCACTAAAGGACAGCTCAGTAGGAAGTTGCCATGAGTTGCCATGAGTCACTGCTCTGCACAATGTACTTGTTTGTAAAGCTGTATACTGCAACAGTACTATGGGCATACAGCCACCCATAGTAAAGAATGGATCTAGATGGATGTACGTGGATTTACACTGCGGCTTGAAGGGTTGTATGCCCATACTCATGCGCGGGCTTACACAAGTAGCAGCTTAAACCCATATATAGCTGCCTCCACCCATTCACTACTATAGGCGACTGTATACTACAGCTGATTATTTCGGGGGCAAGCATACACCTGCAATTTACATTCAACATCCTTATGAACCTGTGTTCAAGAGGCCTTATACGTTTTTTTTCATTTAATGGGGCATTAGCTTATATGCAGTACAGTATAGGAGAGCTTTATATACTATGTTCCAAGGGCCATCTCTATAATAAGGCCGCCACCTCAGGCAGAATCTCCTAAGGTCACAAAGTATTTTTATTTATTTTTAATGAATACATGACTGGATTCAATGGTGTTTTTTCTTATCTGCCCACAGTTAGGCTTGAGTTTCGGATTCAAAGTTTGCAGAGTACTCAGACTTTGCCAATGCAGATGTCACATCTTTTAAAAAAGCAAGCTTATCAATAATTCAGCTGGAAAAGTTACCAGCCTTGAATAATTTAAAGTAGAAAACTCATGAGATAATCATCAGAGGATTTATTGTGCTGTTATTTTTAAGTACAAAGTTCTCTTGTTAAAGGAGCAGAAAACTTAAAAAGATCTGTCAGTGTAACAAGGTGTTAGGTATAGGGGTGAATCATTGGGAATCGTTTCTAACTAAACCAATTAAACTGACTTAGGTTAGGAGTTAAAGCGGAACTGAGCCACCGCAGGTCCCCAGGAGGTTTAGTTCCCACTAGGAATAGTACCTGCATTACCATTGTGTGGATTTATTACAACCTACACTCTATGCCCAGAATAATGTGGACATTCCTGCAAATGATTGAGTTTGGGTGTTTTTCCTCCTCCAGCGATTCAAGGCTCATGCTCCTTATGGTCACTTTGTTGCTGCCAGACTGGTGTCTTCTTTCTCCAGTCATTGGGCAGCCACCAATGGTGAACCTCCGGTGGATGCGGCTCTAGCACAAAAAAAATTGCCTACCGGCAAAGAAGAAATAACTTTCCTCTACCAGTGTTGGTGCCAATGAGCACTTCTCCAACGAAGAGAAATAGAAGTCTCTGTAGAAACTGAAACTCACAGGAGTGTTGATCTCCTTGCACTTAGTAGTTCTTCCCCTCGACCTCTATGTTGCTACAGGACATTGGGTCACAGGGGACCAACACTCCTGGAAGTGTCAGTTTTTAGAAGGATTTTGGCCAGTGATTTCTCTTCGCTTCACTGGAGATGTGTTTGGTCGCATGGGCAGTGGGAGAGGTAAGCTTTTTGTTTTTCTGATTATTCTGTGATCATTTACTTTTTGATTAATTTTTGTTGCTTTAAAGATGAGAACAAAAGCTGGGTGGTTACAATAAAGTCCTCAGGGCAGCTACAGTTATTATGAAATGAGGTCTAAAAGAAGGCTTTCAAAAAGGCTGTGTGCTGTGTCATTTGGTGGGATTACTTCACCATTTGGTAGGGATCTCTTCCCTAGAAGAAGATTAGTTCGTTAGAAAAAAATCCATTTGGACAGCACAGTGGTTGAATTTTTACCAGTGTAGGGCTCCTAGATTCAAATCCCACCAGGAATACTGCCTGAATTATAATTACATAAGTTTATTTTTACCATCCAAAACAACCTACAGAAGAATGTGGACATCCCCCAAATTATCGAGTTCATGTGTTTCCAGTGAAGGGTACTTTTAGTGATACCGCATACAAAGATATTTAAGACAATTGTGCATGTTTAAACTTGTAGCAATAGTTTGGTTAAGGTCTTTTTGCCCCAGCATGACTGTGCCCAAAGCCAGCCACACAAAGACATGGTTTGATGAGTTTGGTGTGGAAGAACTTGAATAGCCGACAAACAGCCCTAACCTCAACTCTGAAGCTAATTTTGGGACAATTTGGAACTTCAATTGTGAGCCAGTTCTTTTTATCCAACATCAGTACCTGACCTCACAAATTTATTTGGCACCGATTCCCATAGACCCAAGGTTCTCAACTGGTGGGTCGTGACCCCGTGTTCAGTGGGTAGCCACATGACTTCCACTTTTCTAGGCGAGAGGCTCCTCAGCCTCCCCCCAGCACTGCAAGCAGAGATTCAAAATATGCTTGAGGTGGGATGGGACTATGGCCTGAGGGAGCTCCATCCATATGTGCATTGTTTACAACTCCCTCACATGTCCTGTAGAGGTGCCTGGACCGGAGTGACGTCACATTCTGGCTCCCAGCACCTCTACAGGCAATGCAGGGATCTGTACAAGCAATGCACATATGGATGGAGATCTGTCACAGCACAGCAGACTACACTGGACCCGAGGCTGAGGATCCACTCCAGTTCTCGTAAGATAGGGAGGCTGGATTGACCTTAAAAAACAAAAAAATTAGAGTGTGTGTGTTTATGTGAGATTGTGTCTGTGTATGTATGTCAGTGTTTTTGAGGGCCCGTTCACACTAGTACAGTGCGTTAAACTGTACCACACAAATCCCACCTACAATGCATTCTGGTGTGGGAGGTGTGTTTTGCGTTGCCATTCATTTGAATGGTACCCCAAATGCACCTCCCACCTTTGTTCGTACACACACAAAGCGCACAGTACCTTAATGCCATGCGTTCCATTGCAGTGTGACTTGGGTCACGACTTAATGACCAAGGACAAATGTGGGTCCTGAGGTTACACAGGTTGAGAACCACTGCCATAGACAAATGTTAAAATATTGTGCAAAGTCTTCTCAGAAGATTGGAGGCTGTTATACCTGCAAAGGGTGGGCCAATTCCATATTCATTGTTTTGAAATGGGTTATCCAAAAGGCTCATGGGTGTCCATAAGCTTTTGGCCATCAAATGTACTTTTAATCTCTCCTCTGTTGAAATTGGCTGTAGAGAGTGTGTGACTGTGGTAGGTCCATTTTGCTGTAAATTCCGCCAAGCACAAGAACTGAATGTTTTGCGTCTGTTCTGAGAATCTTAAATGTGTTACGTA